TCGGCCAAAGGTACAGTCCTGCAGGGCCGCTCGGATGCCGACCTGGTGGTGTTTCTCAGCTGCTTCAGCCAGTTCAACGAGCAGGGGAGAATGCGAGCCGAGATCATCTCAGAGATTCGAACCCAGCTGGAGGCCTGCCAGAAGGAGCAGCAGTTTGAGGTCAAGTTCGAGATCTCCAAATGGAAGAACCCCCGCGTGTTGAGCTTCTCGCTGACGTCAAAGACCATGCTGGACCACAGCGTGGACTTCGACGTGCTGCCAGCCTTTGATGCGCTAGGTGAGAGAGCCTCAGCCCGGTCCTGAGCAGGGGAAGTCTGAGCAGAAACTATGGGGTGGCTGTGCACGGCACAGCCGGGCCACCCTGTTCCCCCGGTGGACATTATGGATGTGGGAATGTGGGATCGCAGCACCACTCTTCCGCCAAGTAACTGGAGAGAAGAAGAGTGCCTTTTGCTCATTGGCAGTGCTTCTGGTTCTGGTCCCAGCAATACCCCGCCATGCTGGGCCACCTGCCCAGACAAACCTGTTTCTTCACTCCTCCGATGAAGGCACCTTCTGTGTGCCCGGTGCCCTTTGAACGTACCAGGTATCAGCCTCTTTCTGCTTGTGCCACATCTGTGTGCCTCCTGAAAACACCCTCTGGGCTTCTGGGGGCGCACACCACCCTTAAGTGCAAGGGGCCAGGAGTCATCCAGTAGTTGGTCCCACCAGGGCCCCTGTAGCAAAGAGGGAGGTGGCAGTAATCTCCCCCCTCTTCCCCTCTACAGGCCAGATGGTCACCGGCTCGAAGCCCAGCTCCAAGGTCTACACAGACCTCATCCGCAGCTGCAACCAACCGGGCGAGTACTCCACCTGCTTCACCGAGCTGCAGCGTGACTTCATCACCTCCCGGCCCACCAAGCTCAAGAGCCTCATCCGCTTAGTGAAGCACTGGTACCGGCAGGTGCAGCTCAGGGACCACCCCTGCCCCTCCCCACACACATACGCATGCACAGGGACCCCGGGCTCCGCCTCTGGACCACATGCCTGGACCCTGGCTTGGTGGAGCAGGAAGAGGCTTCTGTCCCGGCCTGGAGGACTTTAGCTTTCTTACTTGGAAATTGGGGCGACGTAGCCATGTACCCCAGGACAGTGTATAACAAGACACATGGAATATGGTAGAGGTTGTTCTGCCAATTCTAGGGGAGGCGAGAGGGGTCCTCCTGCCCACACCCTGTCATTGCCTGCATGTTCAATACCTCCTCTTCCTTCTCCTGGTCCCCTCAGTGCGAAAAGATGCTCCAGGGAAGGGGCGCCCTGCCCCCTCAGCACGCACTGGAGCTCCTGACAGTGTACGCCTGGGAGCAAGCTGGGCGGGATGTGCAATTCAGCATGGCCGAGGGCTTCCGCACCGTGCTGGAGCTGGTCACCCGGTACCGCGAGCTGTGCATCTACTGGACTGTGAACTACAGCCCAAAGGATCAGGCTATCAGCGACTTCCTGAAACTGCAGCTGGAGAAGCCTAGGTTCGAACCCCTTCCCTCCCCCCCATGTGCAGCCCCTCCCGTCTGAGGTCCCTCCCTCCTGCCCATGCCCTCTTCTCAGGGCTGGAGGAGCAGCCAGATCCCTGCACTCCTGCAAATCAGGGTTACCTGGCCAAGCACAGGACCCCAAGTACAAGCCCCGGTGATTCAGTCCGCCCCTGAAGCAGGTACCCAGATAACAGGAAAACTTTTTGTGGATTCCTGCTGGTGGCTCCAGTCAGCGGCCGGTAGCTTTCCACAAGGCTGTGTTGGAAAGGAATCTGAGGTCATGATTCACTTAGCTGGAAAGAAAACCCTCATCAGTTCGTGTGAGGGCCTGTGGGAACCAATGCTAGGAGTGACTAACGATGACTGCTTTGCATGCAGAAAGGGTGAGCAGCCGTGCTGTGATGGATTAAAAATGTCTGTGTGGGTGCAGCATGGGACAAAGTGGCTCACCGTAGTTCCTTCTCTGACCCTGCCCGAGTGTGGATCCGGAGCCCCGAGGGTTCTCTCAGTCCCGCCCTGAGCCCCTGTAAGATGTTAGGTGAGAGGAGAAAATAGTTCAGCCAACAACAGACAGATGCCCAGAAGTTACTGGAAATGAGACTGACCATGTTTGGGAATTGTAGGCCCATCATCCTGGATCCAGCCGACCCGACAGGCATCCTGGGCCAAAATGACCGCTGGGACCTGCTGGCCCAGGAGGCGGCCAACTGCATGTCCTCCCTGTGCTGTACGGACAGGGACGGCACCCCCATCCAGCCGTGGCCAGTGAAGGTGAGAGATGGTGATGTGAAAGGAATGGGCAATGTGGACAGGGGAGGGGCATGCTCCTTCTGAGTGGGCAGGGGCCCAGGCACCCCTCCAGGAGTGCCCCTGAGGCTCCGTTTCCTATCTCTGGTGGTACAAGGGGCTCAGCTCCTACAGGAAGGTCGGAGAGTAATCCCTGTGTTTTCTGACTCCTCCTCCCAGCCCGCTGTGTGAAGACTGTCAGCCATTGCACTGGACGGACACCGGCCCTTGGGGTGGGCAAGGTGCAGTGTGCCCTGTGGCTTGCACTTCAGTGTGCATGTAGCAGGGAGGGCTGCTGCTCTGCTCCATCTGACCTTTTCACTTCCCAGCTTGGCCCTCAGTCCCATGGAGTTGCCTTAAACATCACCTGTTATCGGGGACCTCAGCAGCCTCCATGGCCTGCACCCTGAGGCCCAGGTCCTGTGGTTGGATACCCACCTGTGTTTCCAGCTTCTCCATCACCTCCCTCTCCTCTTCCTTGCTGAGAATGCCTCCCTGCTCCCTGGCATCCCCCTGTCCATCCACACCAGCACCCTCCACTTGCAGTGACCACCTGCACCACTATGAAGGATTCTGACAGGTGCGCATTCAGCTGAGAAAAATGACCCAACCGATTAGTGATGTCTGCCGTGAGACAGTATGTGAAATGACTGATTACAAACGCCTGGCCTGGATGCAGGGGGGAAGTGGTACCCAGCAGTCTGCAGGGTGCATCTTGGGCACCCTAGGACCTGTCAGCTGAGAGACTTAGCCGGAGGGGCATGCGGATCAGCTGGCTTGGCCGCAGAGGGTGGCCCGAGTGCTTGGACCCCAGACCCACATGGGAGTTCCAGGTGGAATTCTTGCAGCCATGTGGGGAATGAACCAGCAGTCGGAAAGATCTGTCTCCCACTTTCTCCCTCACTTTTTTAAACTCTGCCTTTTAAATAAAATAACTTTTTAAAAAAATTTGAAAGAGAATGAACAGAGTATGTTGAATGTTTTGCACGGGTGTAGGGGAATTCTTCATATTCAACTGACAAATTTTCTATCATTCAAAAACATTTTTTTTCCTAATAACAAAAAGCATATATTTGAGCTCCTGACTGAGGCGCTGGCTCAGGTGCCTGGGTTGTGTCCTGCTAAAGCAGACGGCAGGAGAATGGAATAAAGACATGCCTTTTGTTTTAAAATATATATATATATTGAGAAGTGAACCATGGGCGTTGGAGTCAAGCAGTAAGTTGGAGTGGAACCTGACCAGACACTTTGCTGGCTGTGTGACCTTGGCCAAGTGTCTGCACCTCTCTGAGCCCTGGGACTGCCGCCCGGCCTGCCCATCTCTCGGTGTGGTGGTGCACACTGGCCAAGGACAGGGAAGACTCTTAATGGACACAAGCATGAGTCAGGGCTCTCAGACCATCAGCAGGGCTCAGATGTACACGAAGAGAGATTGAGTTTAAGGAATTGGCTGTGCAAGGGCCATGGGCACCAGCTGGCAGGGTCCCCACCTCCTGGGGGCAGGTCACCAGTTTTTCTGTTAGAGCCTTCAACAGCTTAGATGAGGCCCACCACATGCAGGAGGAAAATGTACTTTACTTGAAAGTCCATGGGATAGGGCCCGGCACCATGGCCTAGCGGCTAAAGCCCTCGCCGTATGGCCACCAATTCTAATCCCAGTGGCCCCACTTGCCATCCAGCTCCCTGCTTGCGAACTGGGGAGGCAGTTGAGGATGGCCCAAAGCCTTGGGACCCTGAACCCACATGGGAGACCTGGAGGAGGTTCCTGGCTCCTGGCTTTGGATCAGTGCAGCTCCAGCGGTCGACCATTGCAGCCGTGTGGAGAGTGAGTCATTGGACGGGGAATCTTCCTCTCTGTTTCTCCTCCTATCTGTATGTCTGCCTTTCCAATAAAAATAAATAATTCTCTTCTTCAGTTAAAAAAAAATAACTTCACACAAAAGATCTGTAATATACGTGGCCCAAACTCCAGGTCCCCCATCTCAACCAAATGGGAGTCAAACCCCCCAACCCAGCCCAGCAGAAAAGGGCTGGATCCTGGGCCGCCCCTGGGGACACAACTTGTGTGTGAGTGAGTGTGGCAGCTGCGCATATCATCCTTGCCAGGTGGGGTAAGGGCCTCTAGGGGCCCTGCAGGTGTGTGTGCACTGAAGCCTAGGCCCCGGTCACTGCAGAGCCTGGGTTTGCCTGGAAACCTCCTCCTTGTGGCTCTCCCCGAGTCTGAGCCCTGCTCCCCCGACCCAACAGGTCCTCAGAGTTCACCCTCTCTGAAATCTAAGCTGCCCAGTGAGCGCCTGTAAAGATGCGTCCTCGGTGATTGTCACTGCCACCCTGGCCAGGCTGGGTCCATCGCCTCCCATCCCACAGCTGGGGAAATCGTGCATCACGGGCACAGGCCGTAGTTCGAGGCCACACACATCTCACAGGTGTGAAGACTGCACAGCTGGGCCCTGGGCTCATGACTCCAGGGGCTGCACGTTGCATCCCTGAAGTTCCTGGGTGCACTGTCCCGAGGGTGACCACAAATGGGTAGGGCAAGAGTGGGCTTGCCAAACTTGAGTTTCAGTTTCTTCAGCCTCAGGGTGCGGGGGCGGAGCCAAAGCCTCTAAATTTGACTTTCTGTTTCCTAGTTGAGGGCAGCAGAGAGCCTCTCCTGTTCACTTCCACTCCATTAGCGGCTATCCCAGCAGCTGGCAGACAGCAATGGGGAACTCGGAGTCCACTACACCTGTGCCCATTATACCTGATCAGGATCTGGACGAGTTTGTCCAGCAATTGAAGCCCTGTAATGAGTGCCTGAATCAGATCAACCAGCTGGTGAAGCACATCTGTACCATCCTGCAGAAGCCCAAGTATTCCCTTCTTGTGCGGGATGTGGCCATGGTAAGTCCAGGGCTGGGGTTGGGCAGCCAGAGGGACCACGGCCATAGATGGGCAGGCCTGGGTCCTTAGGTGAGCTGGCAGAGGCCCCAGCTCTACTGCCAGCCTAGACCGGGTTGTTGTACCTGAAACCTCAGTGTTTGAATCTGTGCAATGGAGGCGTGCCGCGGGGCTTAAGCCTGCAGTACTGTTAGTTCAGGTTCCAGCTCCAGCATGTGGCTGATGCCCAGACCTGAGCTGCAATCTCCTGCCAGGATTGTCTCCATGCTCTCCATGGAACAAAGGATAAACTGAAGCTAGTGGACCTTGGTAGAGACAGAGAGGGAGGGAGAGATCTTCTATCTGGTGATTTACTCCACAGATGGCCTCAAAGCAAGGGCTGATCCAGGCTGAAGCTAGGAACCCAGAGCTGCTTTTGGGTCTCCCAGGTGGGTGTAAGGGCTCCATGTTTGAGCCATCCTCAGCTGCTTTCCCAGGATTGGAAGTAGAGCAGCCAGGTCTTGAATCAGCACTTGATGGGATGCCAGCATCACAGGCAGAGGCGAAGTCTGCTACAGCACAGGGCTCCCGTGAACCTTGGTAAAACCACACAGGTTTGCTCTGCGACTTTTCAACAGCAAAGGGGGCAGGGCTGATGATGCTGCAAGGAGATGGGGGCATTGGAAGGTGCCAGGATTGCAGAGTGAGGGTCCTGCTTCTGTCCTTCCACAAACCCCTTAGCCTTCACAGAAATTTAGCCAAAAGTCTGGGTTCTTCATCTTACCCAAGTGGGTGTGAAATTAACCAGCTCAGCAGAGAAGGGGCCTGTCCCCACCCACACCTCTTCGTCCCCTGTCCCAGCCCAGATGAGGCTTGTGGGAGCAGGTCCCACGGTCTCATAGCTAGTGCGGGAAATGGGAGTGACCGGCCTGCATACTTGACTTCCAGTCAACGCTGTTGCATCTCCTGATTAGAATTTCTCCCCATTGAAGGGGAGAAGAGGAGTGAGGGCGGGCCTTGGCACTGGCTGCTGGGGACGCCCACATCCTGCAGCAGAGTCCTGGGGTTCAAGCCCATGCTCCACCTAATGCCAAATTCCTATTGCTGCTCACCCTGCACTCTACGCCCTGGGAGACAGCAAGGAACAGGTACCTGCCACCCACATGGGATATGCAGAGGAGTTCTGGCTTGAGCCTGGCTCCAGACAGGCTGCTACAGGCATTTGGGGTGTAAATTAGGGGATTGAAGATTTCTCTCTCCCTCTTGTTTGCAATAGATGAAAAGCAGCAAACTTTTAAATACATGAGTGAGAAGAAAAAGCACACAGCTCAATGCACACACTACTGTGTAACTCAGCCCCAGATGGGGTAACACAGCATGCCCAGCACCCACAAGAGCCGTGGGCCCTTAGCCAATTAGAGCCTTTAGTCCCAGGCAGCTGCTTTCCTATAGATTTCATTGATTTGGAAGTTTGCCTGGCTTTTTAAAATGTTACTATTTTTATTGGAAAGGCAGATGTACAGAGAGGAGGAGAGATAGAAAGGAACATCTTCTGTCTGATGATTCACTTCCCAAGTGAGCACAATGGCCGGTGCTGCACCGATCCGAAGCCAGGAGCCAGGATCTTCATTCCGGGTCTCCCACGCGGGTGCAGGGTCCCAATGCATTGGGCCATCCTCGATTACTTTCCCAGGTCACAAGCAGGGAGCTGGATGGGAAGTGGAGCTGCCGGGATTAGAACCGGTGCCCATATAGGATCCCAGTGCATTCAAGGCGAGGATCTTAACTATCATGCTAGGTCCGGCTTTTTTTTAAAGCTTTTTAAAAAATATTTATTTCTGGGCCCGACGCGGTGGCGCAAGTGGTTAAGGTCCTCGCCTAGCACACCCGGGATCCCATATGGTCGCCGTTCTAATCCCGGCAGCCCCGCTTCCCTTCCAGCTCCCTGCCTGTGGCCCGGGAAAGCAGTCGAGGATGGCCCAAAGCTTTGGGACCCTGCACCCATGTAGGAGACCCGGAAGAGGCTCCTGGCTTCGGATCGGCATGGCATCGACCGTTGCGCTCACTTGGGGAGTGAATCATCGGACGGAAGATCTTCCTCTCTGTCTCTCCTCTCTGTATATCTGCCTTTCCAATAAAAAAAATAATAAAAATAAATCTTTAAAAAATATATTTATTTCTTTTACTTGAAAGGATTACAGAATGAAAGATGTTTTCCATCCACTGGTTCACTCCCCAAATGGTCACAAATTCCAGAGCTGGGCTGATGCAAAGCCAGGAACCCCGAACTTAATCCAGGTCTCCCTCGTGGGTGGCAGGTGCCCAAGGACTTGGACCATCTTCTGCTGCTTTTCCCAGGTGCATTAGACGGGAGCTGAATCAGAAGTAGAGCCACCAGGACTTTAACTGGCACCCGTACTGGGGTTCCAGCATTGCAGGCAGAGGTTTATCCTACTGCGCCAAGAAGCTGGCCCTGTTTTGCTTTGTCTTGTTTTATTTGGCTTTATAGAAATGTATAGTAAATTGCCATCCCCATTTGCCTGGGAGGAATTTTTTTCTGGAATGTGGGACTTCCCATGTGAACTTTCATTGTTCTATCGTACCCCACCTTGTGAACACACACCATCTGTCCAGGGTCTTGCTCCTGGCTATTTGAGCAGCCTCCAGTTTAGTGCTTGTGGGTCTTCAGACCAACAGATGGGCACCTTGTTGACCTTCACATGATGACAGAGGCTCCACAGCCTCAGACCTGGAGGAGGCCAGGAGCTCACATGTGCCTCTCGCTTGCTGGCAGGGTGGGTCTTACGGCCGAAAGACAGTATTGCAAGGAGACTCCAGTGGGACCCTCGTCCTCTTCCTGAAATGCTTGACAGAATTCCAGGATTATAAAAAGCACCAAGACGACCTCAAAACAATCGCAAACTGGCTGAAGTTGCAACTGGAAAGCTCTGAGAGCCCTACCAACAATTGTAAGGTGATCGAGAGCAAGGGCAGGTTCTTCGTCGAGGTGTTCACCAAGCATCACAGAATCTGCTTTGAGATGCTGCTTGCCTTCAATGCTCTGGGTGAGCTCAGCTCTGGGTGCTTGACGGAAGGGTGAGGGGTGCAGCAGAAAAGCCCCATGGTGGGGGGGGGGGGCACCAGTGAGCCAGGCAGGCACTCCAGACTGGAGTGAGAGACCCCAGGGCTTTCTGAAGTGGGACCCTTGGTGTCCCTAGGGAAGGCCTCCTCTCTGCCCTGGAGCTACTGCCCCACCTCCAGAAGGCACTGGAGACCTGGAGTATCACCCAGGGGTGCTCCATCTGTAACTGGCTCACAAGTCACCTGGAGCCCGGCCAAGAGACAGGATGCCTGCGCCAGAGCCCAGACTCCTGCTGGACCACCAACCACTTTTGAGGGTCTTGACAAAGAGGCATGGTGGCTTGAGCTGCAGAGACAAAAGACAGCACCTGGGGTGGGGTGGGGTCGGGAGGTCACAGTGCAAACATGTCCCATTGCCTGCTGCCAGAACACCCAGACAGGTAGCTGTCTAGCAAAGATCCCAGTCCTAGGTCTCCGGTCTCAGCCAGTGTCCCAACAGTCCTGCCAGTCACTTAAGCCTGGGCTGTCTATCTCTAAAGCCACGTTTTAGGTCCACAACATACCGTGTCCTTCGTGGTCACTTCAGGCTACATTCTGTTCTCCAACAAGGCAAATGTCTTCCATCAACACCTTTTTACATGAAAGTGAGGGAGCTTCAGAAAGTAATGAAAATGGGATTTTAAAAGCTACATGCATGTTCTCCATCACAGCATACCTGACCTTTGCTGTTGAGCACCCCTGGAGTCTCAGGGACCAGGGGCCATGATTCCAACATCCCTGTATCTGTCACATCAGGTTTTGCCGAACACCCCAGCCCCTGCGTCTACCGAGATCTCAAAAGATGCTTGGATGAGACACAAGCCAATCCCGGCGAGTTCGCAGCCTGCTTCACGGAACTCCAGCAGAGGTTTTTTAACAATTACCCCAGGAAACTAAAGCTTTTGATCCTCTTGGTAAAGTACTGGCATCGAAAGGTAATTTTCAAATTGTAAACATGACAGTGGTGATGATAATGATAGTGACGATTCACTTCTACTTGACTGGGATCTCTTACATCCAGCAAACTTGAAACATTTGTGGATATTCAGCTCCATGCTAATTTTCCTTGCATCCTTACCAGGAACACCTCTATCAAAACAGGGAGCAACTCTCACACCCCAGCTCACGCATCAGTCCATAAACCTCCCAAAGAATCTGTCACTTATTCAGGAAGGGTATACATACAACCATACGAGGCACAGCCTACTTGACACTGGGTCTGAGCTCTTGGCTCAGGATGGCAGGTTTGCCTTGCGTGGTTCTCCACTGTGTTCAACTTCCACGTGTTTATTCATTCTACTACTGCTTGATGTTGACGTCAAATTGGAACTGTTATGGTTTAGGTTGATGTGTGTGTGTGAGTACATGAGCATTCATGTCTCATGGGTAAATGCAGGATTGGAATGGCTGGTTTATAAGCTATGACATGCATGTCAATATGCACAGCCACATGGCTATAAGTACTGCCAAATCACATTCCAAAATGACGGTACCAAGTTAGGCTCCTGTGAGCAAGATCAAGGGACCTCAAAGTTCAAGGGAAGCTGAGTGAAAATATACAGCGAGGGGTGAGTCCTTGACCTAGTTAAGATGCCTGCATTCCCAGCAGAGTGCTGGGAGTCAAGCTGTGGCTCCTCACTCCAGCCTCCTGTTAATGCAAAGTTTGGGAGGCAGCAGTGACACATCAAGTCCATAGGTCCCCTCCAGCCGGCTTTTGCAAAGACTGTTTGGGTTCTTAGCCTCAGCTATAGTGGACATTTGGGGAGTGAGCCAGAAGTACCAGCTGTCTCTCAGTTAATTTTTTTTTTATAAAATTTATTTTGACATTCTTTACACAGTTAATTAGGGCAAGAAGGTTCAAGGGCTACAGGAAAGTAGATAATACTAATATGTTTTCCATATTGTTACCTTCATGTTTAAAGGGGGGTATTAAGGGAGAAGGCCCACCCAATTTCCCACCCTCCCCAGGTCCCGGATGTAGGGCATGCTCTGAGGTTCTTGCTCAAGTGGTTTTGATATTGCCACAGATATGAATCGCTGTCAATCTTGCCACTCCAAGCACTATGAGGTCTTTGAAAAATCCACTGATTGACATAGTCCATCATAGCTGAGATGGTTGGTTGACCCGTTCTGTCTTCTCTCTTTTCTTGGTTAGGGTTCTGACTCCAGCATTTAGATTAGGAAGATCTCCAAAGAAACTTCTTGTATGTGCTAACAAGTACAGGGCCTGGCACCGTCCATCGCTCCAATCAGCTGGTGGTTGCAATTGCTGGGTTGGTTCTGTTTGCACTCCCAACTTCCACTGGAACCAATGGGTGTTGCAGTCCAGCCTGGTTCTGCCCAGCACATACTTGGCCCTCACATAAACCAGTGGGAGCTGCAGCCAAGTTGGAGCGACCCACAATAACCCCCACCAGGCCCGCCCCCTACCCTGGTTTGCCAGTAAGTGTAGCAGTAATCCAGTCTGTCCCACACCCCATTCCACCCCAGCCGCTGTCTTAGTTTTATGTCCTCCTGTGGAAGTGGTAAGCCAAGAGGGATGAGCCCACTATTTCCCTCCCAGGCCTCTCCCACTCCCAGATTCCAGTTGATGCTGCATCTAAGCCCGAACAAACCTCGTCCACTTTAATTTTGTTTGCACCAGTAGGAATAATCCGCCCAGCCCGGCTTTTCCCTGATCTAGTCCACATGAGGTGCACAGGTGTGGTAGCTCTGCCTAGTCTGGTCTGCCCCCATCCCAGCCCATGCTCTCCTGCGGAAGTAGCTGTCCAGCAAAGGAACCCTCTCTTATTCCCCTGCTGGCTCTGCCCACTTCCTTTCTTGTTCTCAGGCTGGTTGGGCGCTGTGGTCCCTTCCGATACAGGCAACCTCACCTTGGCATTCCATATTGTGCACTGGTTTTTGTCATGACAGAACCTGGTTCGACCCACACTGGTGCCTGGATTTGCCAGTGGATGATGTGGACAGATTCAGCATGGTCTTGCCCCCACGTCTGCCAATTGTATGCCAGTGGGTAGCTTTCCATGGCCTTTTCTGAGCTGTTTCCTGTCATGCTTCTTGCGCTTACCTGCTGGGTCTGTGTCCTGCCAGAGGAGTTGCCCAGGCTCCTCCATCAGAACCTCTCCCAATGCCAGGTTTCACGCTTACCAGTGGGTCCATGAGCCAACCCTACTCAGTCCACCTCCTGTCATAGCAGGAACTGTGGCTTTTCCTGACTGGCCTTCCACCCAATCTGGTTCTTGCTGTTGGATGTTCCAGCCCAGCCATGGTTTGTCCGTACCCATATGTGGCTCACACATGGCTCAGCAGGGGTTTGAGACCTTGCCTAGTCCATCCCACATCTGCTCTGGTCCTCCAGGACACCAGGGAATGTTGGGGTCCGGCCCGGTTTGGTGCATTCAATCCCAGTCCACACTTGTGCCAAGGGAGACTTACAACTGTATCCAGATCAGAACACAGCTCCCCTTCCAGGCCATGTGCCTCTTGGTGGGAACCTCAGCCCAGCTAAGGTTGTCCCCTTTGCTCCCCAACCGGTTCTGTTCCCAGCCATCGATCACTTGCCTCCCAATGGATGCTCTGACTCAGCTTGGCACAGCCCCTCCCCTGTCCCGACCTCTGCCTTAGACACTGTGGCTTAGCATCCCTGGCTCCCGCAGACCAGTCAGTACAAGAGCCTAGCTTGGCATGACCTTTGCTCCCTCCTGGTTTCTAGTTTTACTTGTGGGCTAAGGTTTGCTCAGTCCTGCCTAATCTACTCTGTTCCCTTACCAGTTGACACATTAGCCAGTTGTTGGAACTACTTTTGCAGGACAAGCCCCAAGCCATAGCTTCTGCATGGACTGATATTTGGTGCTCAGCATTATTAGTGATTACAAGTTTTACAAAGGAAGAGTTACTGCCTGTTTCAGGTCCAAGAATCACAATGGGTTCAACCTGGAGCCAATTAAGTAGCGACTCAAAGAACCAAATCCCTAGAGCTCCCCAGCCGGGTGGCCAGCAGGCGGAGCCTGGCACAAAATGGCGCACTGGCCGCCCAGGGAACGGCTCTCCATGTGCACATGGCGGCCGTCCGGGATCCAGGCATGAGACGCCCCGTCCTGAGACCCACCAGCTCCCAGGAGGCTGCTGGAGGTTTAAATAACCCAGGCCCAAGGTCGCGCTCCTCCCCAATCCCATTCATTGCCCCATGAAGGTGGCAGGTGGGTCCCGGACCTGCCCAGTCCCGGAGGCCTCCCCCCCTCGGTCTACTCACCCCGAAGGAAGCAGCCCCCAGAACCCAGCAGGCCCGGGAACGGCTCACCATGTGCACATGGCGGCCGTCCAGGATCCAGGCATGAGACACCCCATCCTGAGACCCACCCTCAGTTAATTTTTAAATATAAAATTCCTCTTAGACAAAAATATTCTTTGAAATCCACACAAGATTCTTCTTAACATGCATTTCCCATAACCTTGTTGAAGATCCATTGTGTAAGAGAATTCTAGTGTCCACACTTGAAATTTGAAACGTGCTAGCTGGGGGCACTGTGACTCCTGATTTCCTGACACCAGGAGGAATGGGGTCCCCAAGGTGCCTCTGCCCTCTGCCTCTTTCTCCCACAGTGCCAAGAAAAGTGGAACAATGACTGCTTCCCGTCTGAGTATGCCATGGAGCTGCTGACCGTGTATGCCTGGGAGCAGGGCTGTGGAGCAAAAGACTTCAATATGGCCCAAGGTGTGAAGACTGTGCTGAGGCTCATCCAGCAGCCAAAGAGGCTGTGTGTCTACTGGACAGTCAACTACGACTTTGAGGATGAAACCATCAGGAACATTCTCTTGCACCAGCTGCAGGCTACCGGGTACCGAGCGCCCCACGCCCTCTCCTGGCCCCTCCTCCCCTGCCCCCAGCCTGGGGCCCACGCACCCAGCAGTGCACCTGTGGGATGGCAGCTGCTTTGGGCATCTGTCTGAAAGACAAGGCCTTTTTAGTGGACTGTGGTTCTTTGGTCCCTAACACAAGCTCTGTCCAGGGCCTTCCTCTGTGTGGAAAGAAGAGGCCAAGGGAAGAAAGGGGGTGGACAGGGAGAAAAGAGCCCTTGGCTGTTTTCACATCTCAATAAAGCAGAGCTTGGCAGGCCAAGGACACCAGATGGCTCAGACACCTGCAAGGAGCCCAGGCATTGAGTCCAGGGGCCTGCTACAGGCCTCTGCCTCACAAGCACGTGTCTTGTCCCACAAGCGGCTCAACTGGGGTTATTATTAATACAATTCACAGGCCAGTCATCTTGGATCCAACTGACCCCACCAACAATGTGATCAGAGACTCCAACAGATGGTTTCCACTCCTTAAGGAGGCCCAATCCTTGCTGGCTGCTGCTCCCAATCTGCGCTCGGAGGTGCCAGCCTGGAATGTTGTGGTGAGTGGGTTTTCCTGAGTGCAGTATGTCTCAGGTTGCCCCCAGGGTTCCTCCGGACGCTCAGTCTAAGCCTTATCCCTGACCGTTCTGTTTCCTGTGACTGCTGCAGCCCATACCAGAAACCAGGCTTCTATGGCAGGAACACACTCCCTCGCAGTTCTGGGGCAGCACCTGCTTGTTACACAGCCTCCGGCCCGTGGTATTCACATCTTCACTCTGGGCACGTCTGTCTCCATATCTCTTCTCTCACAAGCAACACCCATCATGGGTTCAATGTCACCCTCACAACCTCACCTTAACTTGATTATCTCTGCAAAGACCCCTTTTCTTTTTTTCTTTTTTTTTTTTTAAGATTTATTTATTTTTATTACAAAGTCAGATATACAGAGAGGAGGAGAGATAGAGAGGAGCATCTTCTGTCCGATGATTCACTCCCCAAGTGGGCACAATAGCTGGTGCTGCACCGATCCGAAGCCAGGAGCCAGGATCTTTGTTCCGGGTCTCCCACGCAGGTGCAGGTTCCCAAAGCATTGGGCTGTCCTCGACTGCTTTCCCAGGTCACAAGCAGGGGGCATGAGGGGAAGGGGAGCTGCCGGGATCAGAACCGGTACCCATATGGGATCCCGGCACATATAAGGCGAGGACTTTAGCCGGTAGGCCACGCTGCTGGGCCCGAGACCCCTTTTCTGAACAAACAGGTTGCACCTCCAGTGTCTCTCAGGTGAACACAGCCCAGCTCCCAACACAGCACACAGTGTCCACTTCTTATGACTATGGGGTACAAAAGGGAGCAAAGGTCAAGAGGGGTTCCTGTGGGGCATGGCGAGAGGGGATGTTGCCATTTGTTTCTGAAAGAAGCTGAGCCCAGAGCAAGTGGGCGGGGCTCATGCCCACAAGTGCAGTGAGAGCTCTGAGCTCGTTCAGCAGCTGTGTGGGAAAAGAAGGATAAAGAAGCCGAAGTAGGGGCACAAACTCAAGGGAAACAGGTGCACAGGGTTTCCCCGTTTCCTTCCCACACCCTCAAGCCCCAAAGGGAAGCTCTCAATGTGGGATTTTCCTACACTCAGAGCTTGTTTGTGGGGAGGGATGAGGAGAGCAAGCCAAGGTGTCTGTTCCCAGGTTAGAGCGATGAACCCAGAATAGGGACAGGTATGTTGTGGGAAGCCAAGCCAGCCAGGTGGATTCCACCGTTCACCAACATGGCCTGAATCCATATTCCTAGGGACGGGAGGTGGGCTCCATATTCCATTCGTACAGAAAAGTGTGGGCCAATTGAGCAGAACTCTGGGGTGTCAGTGAGGATGTAAATATACCTACTGAGCCCGTGGGGTTGGGGATCACAGGAATCAGCAGCCACAGGAAGCTGCCACGACTGTGAGTTTAGCATAAGTTGGCCTTGGCAAAGGGTCAGGCGTGGTCATCCAAAATCCATGCTGTCTGCCGTGAGTGCGAAAACACAGAAGCAACCAGCAAGAAGGAAGAACCGAGAGGTGCTGGTGCCTGCTTGCAGGAGATGCCACAAGTGGATGTGGAAACCCAAGGGCCACGTGGGGTTAGGGTCCCAACACGCCTGCTGGGAGGAGGACCTGGGTCTCTTTCAGGAGCATTAGGGAGGACAACCAGGAGAGGTTTTGTTTCGGAGGGGCTAGGGCCCACCCTGTACTCTCAGGCGTGTTCTTGTGTCTGTACAGGGACTCATGATGGGTTGGGTGGGTGCCTCAGGGCTAGTGGAGGAACAGACACAAGCAGGGAATGAAGCCTTCGGTGGGAGGCTAGGGGGGTGCTCACCCCTGGGTCTCATGCCTTCCTTGCTTCTGGCAGTCAAAGTCACTCTTCGTGACCCCAAGCCACCTGCTGGACGAATTCATCAAGGACTTCCTGCAGCCCAACCAGCGCTTCCTGGATCAGGTTGAACAAGCCATTGAGCTCATCTGCAAGTTCCTTCAAGAAAACTGCTTCTGCAGCTCAAGCACCAAGATCCAGAAGATCATCAAGGTGAGCCTGGTGCCTGTATGGGAGGAATAGCTAGAGAGGGAGCTGAGCAGTCACGGTCACCCTCTGGGACTCAGGCTTCCAGCAGGGGCTGTGGTTGGACAGCCCTGGACTCAGGGATTCCCACTGTGACCTCTGCTGCTGTGTTTGTCCCACCTTCTGCTTGAGATCATTTCAACCTGGCCTGTCGGTTTTGTGTGTGTGTGTGTGTGTGTCCAGAACAGTCATCAACTACCTTTGGCAAACACATCATCCACTAATAGACTCTAACATGGACCTTACTCCATGGCCCAGCAGGTGCCAGCCCCAAGGAGCCAGGCTACAAAGCCCCCAACACAGGCTCTATTCCCAAGCTGCCTCTCTTTCCCCTAGGGAGGCTCTGTGGCCCAAGGCACGGCCCTGAAGAACAGCTTGGATGCCAACCTTGTTGTGTTCCCAGAATTGCTGAAGACCTACAACTTCCAGAAAACTGAGCAGGTCACAGTCCTCAAGGAGATCCAAAAGCAGCTGCAGAGTTACAAAAAGCAGGAGCAGCTGGAGAAGCAGCTGGAAATGACCTTGGAGGTTTGCAAACGGAAGAACCCAAGGATGCTGAGCTTTTCTCTGAAGTCCGAAAAACTTGACAAATACATCCGCGTGGACCTGCTGCCTGCTTTTAACGCACTGGGTAGGGTGTCCGGGACCTGGGTTCCCAGAAGAGGGAGGTGGCAGCTGTTGGCAGGGACACATGAATTGATCATAGGCTATAGAAATGACTTGCATCCTGGGGCCAGCAGCTGTCATCGGCAGCACTGATGATGGCCTTGACATCACAACCAGGGTGCCATTTTTGCTCTCACTTCTCAGTCAAAGGGTCTCAAAGATGACCAGGAGCCCCCTGTGGCAGGCCTGTGGTGTCATCCGCCATGTCTGCCCAAGGTCACCTCTGCATGTGCTCACGAAGTGTTTGTCAATGTGTTACAGAAGGCAAAGAAAGAAAGTAGGAGGGATTCAACAGCAGACACAGTAGCCTAGCATTTAAAATCCTTGCCATGCATGCGCTGGGATCCCATGTGGGCGCTGGTTCTAATCCCAGTAGCCCCACTTTCCATCCAGCTCCCTGCCTGTGGCCTGGGAAAGCAGTCGAGGACGGCCCAATGCTTTGGGACCCTGCACCAGTGTGGGAGACCCAGAAGAAGCTCCTGGCTCCCAGCTTCAGATCGGCTCAGCTCCGGCCATTGTGGCCACTTGGGGAGAGAATTAATAGACAGAAGATGTTCCTCTCTGTCTCTCCTTTGTATATCTGCCTTTCCAATAAAAACCAAAAAAAAAAAAAAATTAAAGACGTATTTATTTTTATTGGAAAGACAGATTGACAGAGAGAAAGAGAGACAGAAAGAAAGATCTTCCACACATAATAGCCCCAAATGGTCCCCAAAATGGCCACAAGAGCCAGAGTGGAGCTTATCTGAAGCCAAGAGCTTCTGGGTCTCCCACGCGGTGCAGGGTCCCAAGGCTTTGAACCGTCCTCGACTGCTTTCTCAGGCCACAAGCAGGGAGCTGGATGGGAAGTGGAGCCGCTGTGACACAAAGCAGCACCTATATGGGATGCTGGCAATTGAAGGTGGAGGATTAGCCTATTGAGCCACTGTGCCAACTCCATCTGCCTTCCATCTTACGCAAAAAAAAAAAAAAAAAAAAAAAAAAAATCTCCTTTTAAACAAAAATAAATATTGCAAAGCGTAAAGGTGTTGGTGTTTGGCACAGTGGCTTAATCACTGCGTGGGATTCCCGTGTTGCAAATCAGAGTATCTGAAGTCTGTGGTTCATGGCAGCAAGTGGTGACTTGGGTCCCTATGGGTGATAGAGTTCTAGGCTCCCGGCGTCTGCCTGGCTCAGCTGTGGCTATTACAGGCATTTGGAGAGTGAACCAGTAGGGGAAGATGCTCTCTCTCCCTCTCTGAGCATCTCCTCACTCTGCAATGCTCATCAGTAATGTGAATACATGAATACCACTTAAAGTCGTTTCTCAGAATCATGTTATACGTGACAAGAATGGATTGCTATTCATAAGTGTGATGGAAATATTCACCCTCCCTCTCACCCCCTGGAATTCCCTCGCTAGGTCAACTGAATGCTGGCACCACGCCCAACCCCCAAGTCTACACAGAACTCCTCCAACTGTATAAATCCCCAACTGCCTTCCTGGGTGGAGAGTTCGCCAGCTGCTTCACCGAGCTACAATGCAACTTCATCACATCCCGGCCTGCCAAGCTGAAGGATTTGATTCGTCTGGTGCAGCACTGGTACCAGCAGGTGCGGGCCCAGGGGTGCTTATCCCAGCCCTTAGCTGTGATCTTCCCCCAGTGAGCTGTGACCACAAAGCCAACCACGCTCCCATGCCCTGTGCCCACTGGTGGAGCTGCTCTAGGGAACCACCTGCTCCTTCAAATGTGGCCTCTCCGTACAGTTCCCATCTCTAATCCAGCTGCAGAGCTGCCAGCACAATGGCTAAAACCAAATCATCCTGCCCATGGGGGATGGGGTGCAAGCTTGGATCTGCATGCCTGCAAGGCGCTGGCACCAGCTGCTAGCCATCCACGTCCAGCACAGCAGGCAGAGGCCGCAAGTGGGATTTGGCCCTGCAACATCCTTCATGCCTGACCTCCCTGCATGAGTGGCCAGTGTCTTGCACACTGGTGTTCCCACAGTGAACATCAAGCTCAGTGTGAGCGCTTCCCGAGATGTCTTTCTGTGCCCACGGGAGAAGTCTGGGCTGTGTGGTGGTCTTCCTCCAGCAAAGGAGCAGGTAGCCTGGGGGCTGAGGGCTATGAAGAGACCTTGGTGCATCATGCCACATCGAGAGCCCAGCATCCTCCTCCAGATCCTAGAGATCATGGTGCCCACGCTGCCTCGGTGGGAACTAAGGGGTCACATGGGAGAGACCCCGGACCCCTAACTGGCATGCATGGGACTTCTGGTCAATTGTGATCTTGGGAAAGTACTTAAGAAACTTAATTTTTAAATGCAATTTAAAAGATCAGTTTATTTGGGGGCAAAAGAAATTGTTTTAAATCCATGCAAGGTTTTTAAAAAATATTTATTTTATTTTTATTGAAAAATCAGATATACAGAGGAGGAGAGGCAGAGAGGAAGATCTTCCAGTAATTGACTGCCTGAGTGGCTGCAATGGCTGGAGTTGTGCCGATCCGAGGCCAGGAGCCAAGAGCTTCTTCCGGGTCTCCCACGTGAATGCAGGGTTCCAAGGCTTTGGGCCTTCCTTGACTGCTTTCCGAGGCCACAGGCAGGGAGCTGGATGGGAAGTGGGGCTGCTGGGATTAGAACCAGCACCCACATGCGATCCTGGTATGTGCAAGACAAGCAGTTCAGCTGCTAGGCTACATGCCAGACCCTCATGCATACATCATTTTTTCATGATGACATTTTCTATAATTTATTGTTTAAAATTTTTCTTTATTTTATGTATTGGAAAAGCAGAAAGAGACAGAGAGATAGCATCCATGTGGTAGTTCACTCTCCATTTGCCCACAGTGGCGAGCTTGGCTAGACTGAAGCTGGGAGCTCAGCCCAGGTCTCCCCAGTGGGTGGCAGGAGCCCTCATCAGTGCCTGGCAGGGTGTCGTGAGCAGGAAGCTGGAGCTGGAGGCAGAGCTGGGACTCAAAGTTAGCTATGAGATGCAGGCATCGCAAGCTCAAGGCCCATTGGTGTGTTCTGGGGAGCCATTATATATGAATCGTTGTTCTGGAAAAGCACCTGCAGCCAGAGACAATGAAAAACCTGGTGTGGCAGCTTTCCGGCTGCCAGGTGCACTCACCTACCAGGGCAGAGCTCCTGTGTGTGTTGGCCCCCACCCCCTACAACCTCACTGACACATGCGCTGTGAAATGCCATCCTGCCCCTGCCCGGTTGGTCCCCCAGGCTGGCTGTCTTATTTGTCTGTCTGTCTTACTTGTCTGTCTAACCTTAGACACTGCTCTCCTGTCTCTTCCCTCAGTTTAAGAGGAAACTGAAATCTGCAGGCTCTCTGCCCCCGAAGTATGCCTTGGACCTGCTCACAGTATTCGCCTGGGAGCAGGCCGGCAGCCAGGAAGACTTCAATGCTGTGGAAGGCTTCCGGACGGTGCTGGAGCTGGTGACACAGTACCAACACCTCTGTGTGTTCTGGAAGGTCAATTACAGCTTCAAGAAGGACCCGTTGAAGACCTTCCTACTGGCCCAGCTCAAGAAAACCAGGTGTGCTAGACCCAGCCACCTCATCCCCCTCACCTGGGTAACCTGATGTCCCCCTCAGTCCTGGGGGCGATGTGTGTGTTCCCATCTGGGCATGGGACTCCTTGTGCTGCCAGCCCAAACTGTCACAGTGGCTAGGGACAGACATCTGGGGGAGATAGGAGAAAGAGTTTTCTGAAAATGATCCCTCTCACATACCCCTAACTCTTCTTTCAGGCCCGTGATCTTGGACCCAGCCGAGCCCACACATGATGTGGGTGGAGGAGACCGCTGGTGTTGGCCCCTTCTGGCCAAGGAAGCAAGACAGTGGTTTCACTCCCCTTGCTTCCAAAATGAGGCCGGGCAGCCAGTCCAGCCATGGAAAGTGCCCGTGGCTGTGGTGTAAGAGCAGAGCCCTCCAGGTGCAGCCTGGATTCAGGGCCGGGCACCTCCTGCAGCAGCTCAGCATTGAGGCAGCCCACAAAGAACCAATCCCCGAGCCCCAGGAAGCACACCACTGGCTGCTCCCTCCCTCATTAAAGTGATCCTGAAGCCAGCACCAGCTGGGGCACACTTTGTCCAGCATCTCGGCACTCTTGACCTCTGGGGGGGGGACCCTGGTGTGGGCCCCTGGTGTGGACCCCTGGTGTGGGAACTGTCAGGATAGCACTCTTGGGCTCTACCCATTGCATGTCTGTCATCTACCCCTTCCATGGTCACAACCACAGAGGTCCTCTTGGGAGACAGAAGGTGGAGGGCATCACAGCCCCCTCTGGCTTTGAGGACCCTCTACGGTCATTCCTTTTGGTAGGCACAGCCCTGGCAGCTGCTCTGGCACCTCCTCCGGGCAGCAGGATAAACCAACAGACCAGAAGCTTCATCTCACAAACTCTTCCACTGCATTGCCCAGAACGGTCGCCAGCTACTCGTGACCTGGTAAAGATGATGGTTTGAGGCAGGTTCCATCTGGTACCCCACAGGGTCTGCCCCACCCCCTGCTGCCAAGCTGCATTTGGTGTATCCCACCAGGTGCACTTTGGACTTCTTCATCCACGCCAGGGTCCTTTTAAGCAGGGTTGACCTCCTCACCCATGAGCGTCTCCCTGCCTTCCTTGCCCTCGTGCCATGGCTGGTGCCCTCATCCTTGCATCGCTGCACCCTCTTGATCCCATCACCACACGTCCTCTGGCTGCTCTGCCTTTGTTTCCTTGGGGTCCTTGGGTGTACAGTGAACCCACCCAGTTCAGGCTAAACGCCCCAACTCAGAACCCGTAATCACTGCTACAAAGCCCCATTTGCCTGCAAGGGGACAGATTCCCAGATTCCAGGATGAACTCAGAATCTTCCATCTGCTGGCTCACTCTCCAAATGGACACACAACAGCTAGAGTTGGGCCAGGTCAAAGCCAGGAGCCTGGAACTCTGTCCAAATCTCCCAGGTGGAGCAGCAGAGGCCCAACTACTCAGGCCATCTCTCACTGCCTTCCCAGGCACATGAGCAGGGAGCTGTAACACATGGAAAACAGGGCAGCCACAACCTGAGCCAGTGCCCCACTGTGAGATGCCAGTGTCATGGGAAGTGGATTAGTCAGCTGTGCCACAAGACCAGTCTCTCTACAGCCTTGCTGAGGGTCCTCCTTCCAGTGATTAAATGGTCCTTTTCTTTGAGTTCTAAGTCATGCTGAGAGAGGTCTCACTTCCAGTGCTCTATTTGTTTCACTTCTTACATTTTCATATTTTTATCCATCTGGAGCTTTTTAAGAAAGCACATGGAAGCCCAGCTCTATTTTATTTCCAAATGACTGACTGGCTGCCTTCACGTCTTCCCACCTGCCCACAGGCAAGATGTACTACCTTTAACATATGCTCAATTCCCTACTGTTGGGTCTCTTTCGGGACTCTCTCCCATGTGACTCATCTGCCTTCCCACCTATTCCGGCACCCGCATTTTCATAGAAACTCCAGCCAGAGGAGCTGTCATCTCAGAGGAAGCCGGGTCTGCTGCAGACTCCCAGCCACTGCCCCACGCTTCCCTACCACACGCCCTTCAGTCAAGGGGCGGGGGGAGGGGTGTTGTCGTGCCAAGCACCGCCTCGGGTCCTTCTCTCAGGCTCCTCCTCTTCTGAGTTAAACCCAGCCTCCTGGCTTTGGGAGCCTTTCCAAAGAAAGACAACTCCAAATGCTTTTGGCTTGCAGGAATCGCAGTTCTGATCTGCAGCTAATTGACAGGTGTCTCAGTGCTGGTTCTGATCTATGGACAATCAAGTGACCTCTCAATGATGGCCAAAGGGGATTTATCAGTTAGTCCAGGCAGGGGTGACCTTAGTCAGGGGAGACCCCAAGTAGAGGGGACTCCAGGTAGGGGAGCTAATGTTACAACAGGAACTCAAAGCCGCGTTCTTTGGTTACTGGACTCTCCGGGAAGTCGGCTCCTTGGATTCCCACAGTACATGCCTGAGTTCCGGGTGCAGACCAGAGCTTCCCAGGGGTGGGGGTGCCAGTATGGGCCATGAAGCAGCACCGACCAAGAGCACCGACAAGACACAGAGATGGGAACGTTCTAGATTTGTAGCAGTCAATGACCGCATTGGCCATCGAGCACACAGGATGCTCGGCTGGTACAGCTAAGGGTCAGATTGCAAATCGCATTTCATTGTGATGGATTTAAGTGGAAATGGCCTCCTGATTGCCAGACGGGCTTGGGCAAATGCCTGCCATTCTTTAACCTGCCCTTTCTCTTTGGAGACATTCCCTCTCTCCCTGCACCTCCCCTCTCCATTTACATATTAAGGCTGTAACTCCCAGTGCCTTAGAAATCTACTGCCTTTAGAGATAGGGCCTTTACAGAGGTCATTAAGATCATTATGCTTAAACCAATTAAGGCAATTAAAGCAATTAAGATTAAGGTGGTCAAAAGGATAGGGTCTCTAAGCTGGGTAAGGAGAGAAAGCAGACAGGAAATGTGTGCACAGGGATCCCACAAGAAAACAGCACCTACAAGCCCAGGAAAGGGGGCTCAGGAGAACCCGTGACCTTGGACCCTCAGGCTCCAGTCCTGTTATCAAAGCTGCCCAGCCCAGGGCATCTCATTAGGAAAGACCTAGCAGATGAACAAGGTAGCTGGGGAAGCCTAGGACCCGCTTCCTAAGGAAATTAGGAGAGTTAATTGTCGGTGTGCACTGTGTGGTTCCATACAAGTAAGTGTCATTTAGTCGTTGTTGTAACAACCCGGCCTCGAGGTGGAAGGACTCGCCAAGACCACAGGGCCAGAAGGGAGGAGAAGCAGGTGCACCCCACAGCCACGGCCTGCTCTCACTCATCCTTGCTTAGCCCTCCTCCTCTCAGCACCGCCCCCTTGTCTAACATACTGTCTCCTGAGCTTGTGCTCTCTGCCGCCCCATGCTTGCTGCCCTCCTGTGGCATTTGAGAGAATAGAATCAGCCTGAGTGGGCAGCAGGAAAGTTCTAGAAACTGCTTACCCGTGGGTCAAGTCATTAGGCTGTGATCGGGGAACAGAGGTTTGTGTTGAGCCGAGATCCAGGGAGGAAGATGCCCGAAACCCACCTGTTCCCTCCCCATCCTGCTCCATGGCTGTTCATGGAGGACAGGAGGACAAACTCAGCCCCGGCTCAGGAACAACTCTCGGTGAACTAGCCCCATGCGGTTCTTCCGAAATCACGCTGTGTGTGTATTTGAGAAATGGATGTCGCCCGTGGATCTCTCAAATTTGGGTTTATGTCATTGCACTCTCAAATCATTCTCCTTTTTCATAATGAAGACATTGTGGCAGTGTAGGCCAAGTCCCCACCTGCAGTGCCAACACCCTCACTGTACTAGCTTCAGTCCTGGCTGCTCCACGTCTGATCCAACTCCCTGCTGATGCACCTGGGATTTCAGTGGAAGACTGAAAAGGCTTGGGTCCCTGCAGCAGGAAAGACTGAGAGAAAGCTCCTATATTTGCTTGTCCACTCCCTAAGTGGCCACAGTGGCCACAACTGAGTCAATCCAAAGTCAGAAGCTTCTTCTGGGTCTCCCATGCAGATGCAGGGTCCCAAGGCTTTGGGCCATCCTCAACTGTTTTTCCAGTCCACAAGCAGGGAGCTGGGTGGGAAGTAGAGCAGCTGGGACATGAACCAGCACCCATGTGGGATTCTGGTGTTTGTAAGGTGAGAATTTCACCATTGATCCATCACTCTGGGTCCAACAACACTATTAATATAGCTGAAAAGAGAACCCCACAGTGTAGGATTAAATTATCTGCAAGTCACATATCCATGAGGGTTCATATATCTATCCAGAATATAAGAACTTCTTCACATTCCACTTGCAACACAGCATGTACATTGGGATTGGACAAAGAAGATACACCATCAACCAATAAGGAACACCACAATGAGATACAACTTCACGCCCAGTGGCATGGCTACAGTTGTAAAACAAGCTACCAACTGATTGAAAGAAGTAGGGAAACATGAAACTCTGCACGGCCAGTGGGAATGCGACAGGATGTAACCCCAGTTTGGTGGCTCCTCCGAAAGTTAAACAGACATTTTCTGTTCCCAGCCGTGGTATAGACCAGGCCTGAGTATAGACCCCCAGAAAGCTGAACACAGGGACACTTGCTTGTGCACACGGGGATGTAGCCTGGTGAGCCACAACAGCCAAGGCGTGGAAACAATCAGCTAGTGGATGGGTAGGGAGAATGTGGTGTGTCTCTACCCCGCTCAGCCGCAACAAGAATGGGGCTCCGGGGCAGGTGTTTGGTGCAACAGTGAAGGTGCAGCTGGAGACGCCCACATCCTATAAGGGAGGGCTGGGTTTGAGTCCATGCCACTCGTGTGGCAGACCAAGGCTGAGTTCCTGGTTTCTGCCTGGCCCAGTCCTGGCTACGTGATGCCAGGCCCATCCGTAGCCAAGGTCGTGCATTTGCCAAGCCGCATTTGAGATCCGCCGAGCATCCTTATGCAAGGACCACAGTGAGGCCACCTGGCACAAGGTTATGATGGAGTACAGCTGCCCAGAGTGGGCAAAGACACTGGGGTCTCCAGGGGCTCCCACTGTCTCCTCTATAATCTGGGGGCACTTGCCGCTGGGGACACTGGAACCACAGCTGTGCCAAGGCATGGTGAGTGTGTGCCCAGGCAGAACTGAAGTCTACATGACCTTGACCTCTTTCTAGAGGTTAGTTTGCACTCTAGAGCCCTCCCCCTCCCCTCTCTCTGCACCCCATCTGCCTGAGGAATCTCCCCACGTGTCCTGCACCATTTCCCTGCAGACTCAGCTTCTAGACGGACAGCAGATGGCTGGCCAGGTGTCAGCAGCTTGACCAGAGCCCAGGCCAGGAGCCCAGGGACAAGCCCGGATCGTCACACCGGTGAGGACAGCAGCTGGCGGCAGCTACTTCCTGCACTTCAGCCAGGTGACCCCATCTCCCCAGCCAGGTGACATCCCCCAGGGAGCCTATGAGGCATCCAGGTCCCTGGGCAACCCAACCCTGCGAGTTGATTCTGCTAAGGGGGCCCATACCAACCCATGCTGGCCTTGCTGGCTCTGCAAGCTTCCATCATCCACTGGT